TCTATGTTTCTTTTCGAAAATTAATTAAGGGACCATTAAAAGCTGAGTAAATAAATATTAAGAAGTTCTATTCTATTGAAATCGAATTTACACAAAAACACGTAGAAGTATATTTCTCTACCCGTTTTAATTTCAATAGAATAGAACTTTTATCGTAAATATCTTAATATGTAATACATATACTCATTTTAGACACGTTACACCTTAATATTTAATTACTCAGTTTTTAATGCTCCCTTAATTAATTTTCGAAAAGAAATATAGGGTATTCCATTTAAAAAAATCATGGTAACCTTCAAAACTTTATGTAGAAAAACAATGTAGAAAAAAACAATTATTGTAACATATGTTCCTCTTGAAATCATGCAACTTTTGCTTCGTACACTATTTCGTACAGGGACTAGTTTACAAGCAATTTCAGGTCGTCAAGTTTGGTGAATCACCCTATATGTATATGTATACATATATATGGTCATACAAAAATTTATAAAAATGAAGAGTCTCTTGACAGGAAGTTAAGTGGTCAACTACTTCTTAAAAAAACCCCGGAAACTCAAAAACCGCACAATAGCTGGATGTGGATCAAAGGAACATAACCCTGAAGAAATATATAATACCTACAACCTGTTCGCAACGGTCTTTATCGTGCCACTTTACTTATCACTTCCGGTCATTAGAACTCTGCCACTTCCTGATAATACCTTCCTTCATTGAATACAATTAACATACTGTTAAAGTGAAAAGTGTAATTTGGAAAATTCACAGGACTCGCTTTTTTTTAGTATACTATTTATATATATTTTTCAATTCCTAATTACATGTAAATAAATAATATTTATTTAAAAACATTTTGGAAATATTTTAAGAATATTTTCACTTAAAATATGCGCAAAACTGATTTCGATAATAATAATTACGGTACGGTTTGACATCGGTACAGTTTTAAAATATCTTATATTTAATAACTGTGGGTTTGCATAATGAAATATTCATAAAATATTGCTAAAATGTTTTTAAATAAATACTATCCGTCAACATGTAATTGCGAATTGAAAAAATATATAAATAATGTACTGAAAAAGGCGAGCCCTGAGCGGGGCTCAAACTCATGACCAAAAGGTGACAGCGAGTAGTTTTGCAGTGAGATACTGAACCGTTGTGTCAGACAAGTTATGTATGTAGAAATACGAGTAACTTTTTCGCATGGAATACCTCGAAGACATCAGTATTTGATTTTTTTAACTATGTCGCATCTTACCATAAAATCGAAAAAATTTGACTATAGTAATTATGTTAAGGTGCTACTACCAAAAATATATAAAGAACGCTGTGTTAATATTTCAACAGAGATCCGCATGTTTTTGTGTTTTTCTTTTTTTGCAACTAGGATTTGCAACGGAAAAATCGGAAAAAATTCCCTAACATATGTCTCCGTACCTACAATGTGACAAATTTTTTCAAAATTTTTACGTACTACTAAATAGAGAAAATAGAGCAAAACCTGATAATCCGAATTTTCCCTGTAACTACCGCCCCGGTCTAGGTAGAGTGTTGGAACTTGGTGACAAATGTTTTCTTTCGATAAGATATCGAATGGCCCATCGCAAGACCAATTTAGTTTAACCCTTTTCAGCCCAATTTAATTGAATTCTTCAAAAAGGGGGAAAAATTTGTTTTCTATTCTTTGTTAATATGAAAACTTACACTTATGAAAATGTTTATTGTACTAAAAAATGATATCAAATCACATCTACGCGTATAAATACAAAAATAGAACCTGATAACGATAACAAATGGAATCATTAACCTGGATAGGGTTAAGGACATTTGTGACCCCCTTATCTAACTATAATATTTCTAATTAACACTTGCGCGTCTGGTAGTTCTAGTGCACAATTTATAGCCAATTTATTGCCTCAATGTTAAAATAACAAATAATGGGTGCTGCAATAAAATATGACGATTTTCAGAGAGCTGTTATAGGATACTCTGGTTAAATAGAAAGAAAATACTTTAATTAAAAAAATAGTTGTATAATGCAATTCATTAATTATTCGATCATTCTTTGAAAATGACATTTTCACAATCACAATATTAATCATTACGGTTAAAACAAATATATAAATATTTCTGACTGGATTGCAACACTACTATACAAGGTGTCTCACTTATAATAAACATCCAAATTATTTCCGCTGATATTGAAAATACGAAAAAAAATGAATGACTAAGAGGAGTTTATATGGTTTGAAGACGTGCATCTAGATAAAGAACAATCTCCCAAGGTCATCTTAAATGAAGGTCATTCCAAGGTCATCAAAATTTTTTTGTTACTGTTTGCGGTCAATTTAAAGAAATCGTCACATTCTATTGTCCCACCTAGTATAGAAAGATTTGTTAATTCTACAAATAGAATTTACAAACGAATAGCTGTGAATGATGCTGGCTAAATTGCTTAACCCTTTCGCTGCAGCAGGTGTCAATACATGGCAGACGGTAGATGTTCAATCATGGACTCGCAAAATCGTTTGTTTTGGCACTTTAAAATTCAAAAGAAATTTAAGTGTGCCAAATGTCGCCAACAGCATAGTGTGAGAAAATTTTCAAAGCGCCAACAGCAGTGAAACGGTTAAATTAATCCAATTAACTCGACGTTTATTCAAATATATAGTAATTCGTGACGCAAGATGCTTCCTGGAGAACGGTGCCACCGCTGCACACCTCTTCGTCAGCGAAGATCTGCCAGTCGGTGACACCGTGGGCGTTCTGGGGGTATTGGGGGATCCGGGACCACAGGGAGACATCGAACTCAGGCTCCAAGAGCATGACAGCCCCGTGAGCTTTTCAGCGTACTCGAAAAATCTAACTTTAATCAGACCTCTGGATAAAGAGGGTATCGATGGACCTGCCAGCGTTTACGTGAATGTAATTTGCGAGAGGAAACATACGTTGGATCCAGTACGTCTAAGATATTGTTTTTTTTAATTATACAGTGTATCTCTTATTTAACGTGGTCACTCAGAATAACTAAGGAATTTGTTTTAACCCTGAAATGCTAGCCTAACTGAATTCTTATTCAGACACTTCTCTACTCTTTCAATCAATAATAAGTTCGGTATAGTGAAATTTTTGTGAAATAATATGTAATGTTATTGTTCTACGCTAAATTTTATATTTTTCAATTAATTTTATTGTTTAAACTAGTTTTTAATATAGTTTCAGCTATGTTATCTCATCACTAGACTGCGGATGTTCATGCAAATGCATATTTCTATAGGATATTGATAATACAGTGAGACGTGGATAGAAAGTTTTGTCTTTAGGGGGCATTAACCATGTACTATTTATTTTGCATATTTCATATGTTTTGCATTTTTTTCTTAAGAACATATGCAAAAGTATATTGCACACTTCATAATCGTTTATCATATTATTGTATTATATATCGTATATTTGTCCCTTATAAATTCATTTTAATTGATAAACGTTGTAACGTCATTATGCCTAAACGTCTATTGTTATTTAAATTATAATCATAATATTTAAACAATAAAGATATCATTATTACGGCATATTTTCAGTATATATTCATATATTTTATTTGCATATTTCGACATATTTTAAGTGCATAAACGTTCGCAGTCGACTCATCACTCTACAACCTATAATGAATAAAAATAGAGTGGGTACTTCTACTTATCAAATGAGGCTGAATTTTCACCCAGACTATTATTAACATAAGAAAAATATGAACAGTATTCCAGGGTTAAAATTGTGTTTTTAAAAAGTACAGATAAACTTGAAGTCTTCTGGAGTTGTGTAAATAATATTCTTCATCGCAATACTTTCTATCATGCGGCTTACAATATTTTTCTTTAAACTCCTCTGATTATTTGCATTTGTATGTAGGGGTTCGTGATTCCGGTCAATATCCGCGTGACTGACGCCAATGACAATGCACCTCAATTTGTAAATGCGCCTTACGTTCTTAATATCTCAGAGGTGAGAAATAAACGAATCATTCTTGCAAATGTGTTCCTTTAATAACGATTCATTTTGTTTGGTACTTAGGTTACTGTGGTTGGTACCAGGGTTCTCCAAGGTGTAAGAGCTGTGGATGCTGATCAACCGGGGCCATTTTCTACTGTACAGTATGCCGTTTTACCTGGACCACATTCTGTAATTTTTAATTATTCATTATTACACATTCTTGTTTGCTTTTCGTTTGAAATGAAAATATCGATGAAATTTTTCAGGATTACTTTGTGTTCGTGAATGCTTTAGAAGGTACCTTGGTGTTGAGGAAACCATTAGATTACGAGACTCTAGCCAATTTTTCAGTCGACATCCGTGCACAAGTGAGTCACGATCTCTTTGATTATTTGAAAATACTACAAACATTTTACAAATGAGATGAAATTATTTAATACTTGTAGGACCAAGGTAATCCTCCCAAATCGTCAACAACGACCCTTTACGTGAACGTTATCGATGCGGATGACCAAAATCCTGCCTTCCAAAGTGACCAATATAAAATAATTATTCCACGACATGTAACAACGGTATGATTGGGCGTTTGTTTATACTATTAAATGAATTAAAGTATTGATAAAATATTAGGTTATCCTGAAAGTTCCCGCGGGTTTAAGCGATTCATTTTGAAAAAAACATAACTCCGTTAAAATTAAACATTTTTACTTAAAATAATTTCCATAATGTTCGTTACGCCTTTGCCAACGTATTACAAAAGCACTAATTCCGCATACATAAAAATCCGAATCTCTAAGAAAAAGAAAGATGCAAATGAATCTCCTCGATTCAAATCTAGTTTACACCAGAAAAAGATAATGCTCACAGTTTGGTGGTCTACTTCAGGATTAATTCACTACAGTTTCCTAAAACCGAGTACCACTATCACTGCAGAGTCATACAGTAAGGAATTGGAGGTCGTCCACTAAAAACTGAAGGTACAGCAACCAGCTTTGGTCAACAGAAAAGGCCCTATCCTTTTGCATGTCAACGCCATACCGCACGTAGCAAGCACAACTGTACAAAATTCGCATCAACTAGTTATTGAAGTTTTACCTCATCTCCTATATTCCCCTGATTTATCTCCGATCGATTTTCATTTTTTCCGCTCACTTGACAATTTCTTTACTCAAAAACGATACAGGAAACAGAAGGACATTAAAACGCCTTTCAGTAGTTTCTTTTTCTTAGAGATTCAAGTTTTTATAAACACGAAATTAATGCTTTCGTAATACGTTGGCAAAAGTATATCGAACATTATGGAAATTATTTTAAATAAAAATGTTTAACTTTAATGGAGATCTGTTTTTTTTTTTTTTTTTTAATGCACGGCTTCAAACCGCTAGAACTTTTAGGGTAACTTAATAAATGTGAAATTATATATGATATACTTCTTTCAGAGAAGGATATTAAAGGTAGAACTAACCCCCATAAAAGCTGTGGATCAAGATGTGGGGATTAATGCTCCAGTGAAATATACAATTCAAGGAGGAATTCTTCCATTCCTCACACTGAATCCAGAAACAGCTGAGGTCGCCATAACGCGATCATTATACGAGCATGAACTCTTATCTCCAGCGACAATTGTTATTAAGGCAAGCGTAATAATGATTTTTTGCAAAACAAATTGCGCATTATGTATATGATATGAATAAATTTTCATATTACTTTGATCTGCAGGCTACACAGATAGACAATCCAGATAAATATGCTCTTTCTACCATAGTCGTTTCCCGGGAGAGTGAATGGAACGTGGAACCAACTGCTGGTGATTATTACAGTTAATTAATTCATCGTTTCGTGCTTCCTCATTTCTAAAATATTCTAATTAAATGAAATCAGGTGGAAGGCTGCCAGTAAAATTCTTACGACGGGATCATCAAACGAGTATTCCGGAAAACACTCCACCGGGAAGCGTTTTATTAACCGCAGGAGTAAATAAAGTAGATTCTGTAAGTTGAAATCGGTTGTAAAAATTGTTTAAGAAATTTTGTATGATTATTAAAACGTATATTTAATTTTAGAATTTAAGGTTTTGGCTTGTTGGAGCAATTGAAGACTTGGAGAGGTTCTCGATCACCAATTCTGGTGAATTAATTCTAAAAGGCACCTTAGATTACGAAAGACGGGTCCAGCACAGTTTCTTGGTCCGCGTCACTGACGGTCATCACGTAAGTCTGCAACAATTTACTTATTTAAATGAATTACTCAAGTTTAACAGAGATAAAATTCAATTGAAAAGTAACACGGTGCCTGAATACGATGTTACAGAACGACACCTCACGCGTGAATGTTTCCGTTGAGGATGTAAATGAGTGGGAACCCCGGTTTCGTCATCCCAGATACGAATTTCACGCTGCAACCTTAAGAGAAGGATCCATTGTCGGTGAGACTGCTTTCTCCTGTATAATTATTATCGACAAATTCATCGATGAATTCCTTAAAATTATCATGATATAATTTTTAGGGAAATTGGAGGCTGCTGATGGTGACAGGGACGACAAAATTAGTTTATCTCTCAGAGGTCCAGATGCAAGGTATCTTTGAAAAAGAAAATTATATTACTGACAACTCGACGTGTGTTACGAAATGTAGCTCGTTTCATTTGCCTTACGAAAAGCAGCACGTTTGTCTTCACTGTCACGAAAAATATCACGTTTTGTTTTTTATCACAAAAAGTAGCACATTTGAATGGTTGGGTACGAAAAATAACATGTTTCGTCTTTCGCTGCGAAAGCTAACACGTTCAGGTGATTTGCCACAAAAAGTAGCATGTACCAGTTGTAGCGACAGAAAGAAGCACATTTAAATGGTTGGCTACGAAAAAAAGTATGTTTAACTTTATACGATCGAATCTGATCTAATCAGAGTTTTGTCCTGATCTGATCGTAATATACAGTATTCCTCTCTTAACTGACGCAGGCTCGGGTCCGCGTCACGACTATCAAGGGAAATAGGTGTTTTCAAAACACTGTTTTGGAAATTACAGGCTGTTATCTTTCTTCGGTTCGTTGACTTCTTGAGTGCATTAGAGACGGGAGTGAGAAACATTTTCATATTTTTTTCGTCTTGGAGTTTAAATGGATTCATTATTTATTAAACAATATTTTTAAAAGTTGAATTTTTCGTTGCAAAATATATTTCAACAATTTAGACCCGATCACCGCAAAATCCAAAATGTGCTACTCTTCGTGGCGAAACAGTATAATGTATTATTTTTCTCGGCAGAAGACCAAACGTACTAATATTCGTAAGAAACGACGTAATATGTTTCTTTATATGGCAAACTGACGCATGCTGTTCTTCGTACGACAAGTGAATCGTGCTACTTTTCGTAATGCACATCGAAATAATATTGTTAACAAATAAAATATTTATATATACAATTATGACAGATCTTTCGAGATACGTGACAATGGAGAATTGATACTCAGATCAGTAGCAAGTATTAATGGTTCCTTGGCCCGACTAGTGGCTGTAGCCTCTGACTCAGGTCGTCCTCCCAGGTTTGTAAAAAGAATGATCTTAATAAATTACAGTATAATGTTCTTTTCTATGTTTTATAACTACGTGAATTTTCATTGAAGGTCTAGTATGATACCAGTGATCGTGCACATACCGAATAGTGGTTCCCTTCCAATTGCTGCGAGAGCTGCACCCGCTTGGTTAGGCAGCAGCGTGCTATTAGTTGCAGTCTTTGGCGCTGTCTTGGGTCTTCTTGGAGTTATAATACTTGTTTTAATTTTGTACATATATAAGAAGTAAGTAAAGCTGGTCTTTTGAATGATTATCTTTTCTCTTTCTTTTCAATGACTCCCCCACCACTGTATAGAAAGAATTCTTCCTTTTGAAGAAAAACTTGAAGAATCTTTGAAAGTGTCTAAATAGGGTGCTTAAAAAAGAATGTTAACACGTACATATACAGAGAATTTACTGGAAACTACCTGAACAAGATTCCAAGTATTGTGTTAATGGTGAACAAGTGAAGTAAACAAGTTATCAGTTCTATTTCTGTAAAAAAGTTACTTCCACATAAATGTTAACTTTTTTACAAGCGCCCTGTATAACCCTTTATTGTACAAATTTTCTAATAGTTTTACTCCAAAGAGATTTAGAAGAAGTGAAGAATTTTTTCTATGTAGTACACAAATTAGTACTTACTAGTAAAATTTTTAATAAACTTCAAATTCTTCTAACTTGTTAT